TCTGGTAGCATAGTACCTAAGGCACTTGACTGCTAGCCAGAAGGCTGGAGGTTCAAACCCACCTGCCACTCCTCGGAAGGAAGACGGGGTAATCTACTTCTGTAGTGATACTGCCTTGGAAACCCAAGGAGGGGTCTCTATGAGTCAGGTCTGACTCGACGGCACATAACAACAACAGCAATTTGCACCTAAGGCTTTTGACTGCTAACCAGAAGGCTGGCGGTTCAAACCCACCAGCCACTCCTCAGAAGGAAGGCTGGCGGTTCAAACCCACCAGCCACTCCTCAGAAGGAAGGCTGGGCAATCATTTCCACAGATACTGCCTCAGAAACCCAAGGAGGGGTCGCTATGAGTCAAGCTGACTCAACAGCAGCGAGTTTGGTTTTTGGTTAATTTGCACCAGCCCCCTGCAGCTAGCGGCTACTGTACTGGACAGCACACATGTAAAGACTTACCATCACTGCAGAAAGTACCAGAAGGCACTGGCTAAGAGGGCCACAGTGCAAAGCAGCATACACTGCTATAAGGAAAACTCTCAAATTTCTGTAAGGAGAAAAAAGGCTAGGGCAAGGAAGTGGGGGAAAACTCCTTCCGGTAGGTACACAGTCTCAGACAGAGCAGCCCCCGTTACCGCATAGCATACACCTTCTGTGTGAACAGAGTGGTCCACCGTACAGGCCCTTCCTTAATCTTAAAGGCTCTGAGTTCAGGTCTGGATGTTGGAGAAACTTTAAAAATAAAAGGCACAGGCACCGTGACGTCAACTCTCTGAACTGCACGTATTCTGATTAAGTCTACTTTATCAAGTGTTAGGCATCCCTATGTCAGCGTGCACTGGCACAAACAGTGGCCACATGGTTCCAAGAGAGCGTCAATCAACCTGTGTTTCCTAAGGTGTCTCCTTCATCCTAAGGTGCAGCTGTTCAACAAGTAAGATCATCATCTCTGCTCCCTGCCTGTCTCCCAGGAGATGAGCTCTCATCCTAAACCTAATTTTGAAGCCCTTAGAGGTTATAAACTAGATGAACGCCAGGTTCCGTTCATCACTAAATGGCACCAAGGCACTGTCCTTGTCATCCTCCTATGATCTCAGAAATCCTCTGGGAATGTGCTCCAGGAAGAAAGTAATGTCTAAGGGGAGGCCAGCTGGTCACTTTGCAAGCGCTGTGGCGGAGGCATCTGACCTCCTCCAATGTCATGAGGGGGAGAGCAGATTCCTGAGACAGAGGTCAGACATACCTCCACCCTCCAAGCTTTTGACCAAGTCCGATACCAGCCATCCCTCCCACTCCTACGGCACTCTCCTTCTCTGCTGAGTTCGGTGATCCATTGCAATGCGGTGGTGCAGAGAATTACTCAGCACAGCTCTTCTAGCCACCAGATGACTGGGTGGGACTATGTAAATGTAAGGTGCTTGTGGTCCACCAATGGGATTGGACAGTTTGCTAATAATGTAAATAAGGGACACACTGCCCTTG